TATATATATGATACAGACCCTTGTTTTGTATCTACCTAATCCATCCCAACAAAAGGTAATTATATATCATCCTAATCGGCAAATACCAAAACCCACAGATGACGTATAGAACCCTACCCCACCCCACCCCTATATGAATACAATTATTAACACCAAAGGCATATAAGAGTGTGTATTTGAACCAAAATATATTATGAATAGTGTCATCAGTTTTTTTGATGACACCTTGGGGTGATGACAGCAAATAGAGTAAGCCTCATAGTCAAGAGAACCTACTCTTCGAAGTGGTTTTCTTCTTCGTTAAACTCCCTTCGGAGTCTTTTCCAGGGCCTTCTAAATCCGTCTTTGTATTTGGTCATGTATTTAGACAAAAATCTCACCCGGGAAATTCTTTCATGTTGCATTGTTGTATAATGCCTCCAAAAGCCTCAGTATGGTTGGGGGTGGATGTCTAGGGTTGCGGCTGGTTACCCTGCCCTAGAACCACGAAATGCTCCGACATGACTAAGCGTCTCGAATGGCCTCTGCTGAGGAAGCCCTACTCACTACCTTGTCGTGGCCGAGGTGTTTTCCCACCAAAGTGAGAGGACGAAAAGCCGACATCCGGGGCTATAACCGGGTTAGTGGACCACTGGTAGCTCACCTAGGGGGGTTGGCCAAAAAATTTGATTCCAAACCACACTCACCTTTTCGGTTGTGGCAGTGGTCACCGGCTCGATTGGGCATTGAGGTGNATTGGGCATCTTGGACGTTTGACCCCATCCGAAGAGCAAATGATCCGATCATCTGAACACCGGCTCCCAATAGATTACGGTTTTCACACACCACCCGCTGCCTTGCGAGTCAGGCTTTGGCTAACCAAAGGTTCCGGTTAGGGATTCCACAAGAAAATTCACCTGCCTTGGCCTGGGTAACCTGGCAGTATTCATAGAACTTTTTTCTTTTTTCATAAAGATTATTGTACCATGATTTGCCTGGCACACAGTCTGTGCTTAGACAAGTGTGAAGTATAATAATATAATAGTTATGTAAGACGAAGCACTTAGCGACAATCAACTTCGCGAAGTAAGTCGGTTCCAAGCCGTATTGGTTTTTGAGTCCGTTCCCATTATTGTTTGGACTAACACCGATGTACCGTGGTGTCCACGGTGTGATAGACGTATTCTGCGGCTGTGCTGCCACTCACCTCCAGTAGATAGGCAACCTATTAAATTACTGGTATAAACGGTAAACGAACATAGTTTATTGTTGTACTGTTCTGGGTCCCTCAGCCTCTCTTTTTGGAGTAGGAAGCTTGAATTAGCCCATTCGATTGTTAAGAAGCACCAGGGACACAGAAAGTACGCACTGCTGATGCAGCAGCTCTCCAGTGCTCTTTGTCGGTTATCACAAACATTTCCGTCGCATATAAATGCTCTCAGTTTGTCCTCTAGCATCTTCACCTCCTTCGAAGTACTCGCTGGAATCAGGGATGGTGCTGGTTCGCCTTTGCTTTTAGCCTTCAGCCTGAGCCAGATGCCATTCACTTTGGCTTGAAGGATTTTGCATTCCTCCTTCTGTTAGTGAATTTCCTTCCAAATCAATTAAATTAGGATGAACAATATACCAAGAAATTTTTTCAGCATTGCCTTCACGGATATGTTATCCGGATAAAGCGGCGATCGCATCGGTAAGGAAGAACTGTAAGAATTAATGACGGAAAACTTCATTACCCCGTTCTCCTGTAGGATATTTTTGGAGAACACATCGGTGTTGATTCTAATGGAGAAACCGATGTATCTAATGGACCACTGGTCGCCCTATTTAGTAGAGGCATATCATTTATCATAGTAGTTGGTGATTTACGAAACCTGTAATGTCGATGGAATTAAGCATGCAGTTTTGACATCCCTCTGATTAAGGATTTTCTTTTCTGGTGGTTGCGGTATTTGCATCAGTTACTTAAGAGTTGCACTTTCATCGGTCAAGTAGGCTGACCAATTGACTGGGATTCTTCGTTTGAAATGATACTAACACCTACGGTTTTCTTTTGTCAAAATCATTCATGATTTTTGTTGCATCTGATAAAGGCATATCGGTGGCCTCCTGATACATGTTCTAATACAAAGGGCTTATGTTCATCTGATTTTTTAGGATAGTAAATTTGCAGCTTTGTTGTTTTCTTCAAGACTTCAATCTAATATCCCTTCCACTTTGGACAACGTTCTGTTTCGTTCAGTAGAGGATTGTGCTTCTTTGTCGTACAACCCGGTCAGAATACATAGTCTACCATCCATCCAAGAAGTCAGAAGACCGCAACGGTGTTATCCTCAAACCTAACAATGTTATATATCTATAAGAACATTTTTGATCACTCAGGTAAATAATATCCTCATGTAATTCAGAAAGATAGTCGTATATTCAGTAAGCACATTTTATTTCGCTAAAGCATCTAAAGTATGTAAAATGGGAATAACAAGAAAAAGAATTACCATTTACAAAATGACAACACTTATCAGTAATGTTTGGTTTGCAACGAGTAACAGAGGTTAAAAAGGTTTTATCCGTTTCGGACATATGCAAATGGGTTGTTGACAAAAAAGACGAGAAAATATCTTTATAGCTAGGAAACGATGTAAAAACAACAGTAACTGTATAAACTTTGTGATGATACCATGTTGATTGCTACGCGATACACAGTTATGCGGCGATCAATCACTCGGTTAGATTCCATGAAGGATGAAGAATAGTTTTGACGGTACGAGTTTGTTATAAGGGAAACCTTTCTTGTTCACTGATGTAGGATTCGTGAACTGCCACTGCGGAAAACATCATGCCGTCTATGTTCAACTGTAAATACGATGCGTCTTTCAGCTCATTGTTTACATACTCAAGATTTTAACGTAGACAACACAACAGATTGAAGTGTATGTAGTGGCCTTTTAATCTACGCCTGCATGTCACACCTGAAGTTCTGAGCAATTACCGGCTGTCCTTCGGTAATTCTGGATGCAGCATCCGCAGTTCCTGAAGAGTAATGTTTATCCCGTGTGCATTCAACGTGCCCTTTAATCATAATGAGCTGTATAATTATGCATCAGTATGTAGGTTGCACCGTGAAAAAGGCTTTCCCGAGTGAAATACAAAGATGGATTCAGAAGGTCCTGGAAAAGACACCGAAGGGAGTTTAACAAAGAAAACCACCTCCAAGAGTTGTCGAATTGATAATTGATGAGGTTTTTCACAATAGTTTTTGGTTTCAAATACACATTCTTATTTCTTTGGTGTTACTAATTGTATTCATCTAAGGGTGGGGTTGTATACGTAATCTGTGGGTTTTGGTATTTGCCGATTTGGACGATATATGATTCACTTTTGTTGGGATGGATTACAGTTAGATACAAAACAAGTCTGTATGAAATAGGTTGCTGCTGCTGTGTAGTTGGCACACATTGTAGATCACTAACAGTCATTTCAATCGCACCTAT